AGAGAGAGAGAGAGAGAGAGAGAGAGAGAGAAGTTCGGGATTAGGAAACAAAGGTCTACAAAGGCAGAAATGAAATAGCGATGTAAAAATGACTACCTTAGAGTAGCACCAGGGGTCTAAATTACAGAGGAAATATTGGAACGAGGGATAAAGTATTTTTCAGTGAGAAAAAGCGGAATGTTGGACAACCGTATCTGACCTGTTGGACTCCACACCCTTGAGGAAAGCTAGGCTTTGTTTTTCGATTATCAATAAACTTTATTCTTCCTTCTCCCAGGCGTTCTCGGTGAATTATGAAAAAGTTCGTCAAATTTCTCACAGAGCCACTATACAACTTTGATCATTTTATCTTTTACATATCTATTATTTAGATTCATGTTATGAATTCCTATAAATAAGCCGGCATTGAGCATATTGTACTATTGTACTCAAGAGACAGGTATATTTGATTTCCTTATCGTTCAGCACGTGTTATCTTCAAGATACGATAAACTATCGATAGACATTTCGTCGTCTCAATAACTGATTCAATCTTCCTCATTTACAATACATGTTATAAAATGTTTGATAGTTTAGCTGTTGTGTTTTACACTGGATGCTTTATAGTATACGAGTTAAACCAAGAAAAACGGGTTATCCTTAAAAACGACTTGCTAGTGACTATTGGCAGTCAAAAACTGTTTCCCATTTCAATTTCATTATTTTGTTTTATTTAAAATGTACTAATGGACTAAGTTTAGTTAAGAACCTTCGTGATTACTCTAAGTAATGAAGTTGAAAACTGAGAACTAAAATATATCTCTATATAGGGCTTGAAGAGTGGAACAAAATAAATAGCCATAAGGCGTTCACAAGGTTTACTGACGGACTGTACTGATCATATAAAAAAATAGTATCTTATATTAGAAAGAAGTAATATTTGATTGAAATGGCTTTATATTATGACAGCTACTATTACTTGTATTTATAACCGCAAAGGTTCCATTGACTCGCGTTGCACTGCTTGCTCGCCAACTGATGGTAGGGACACCCTTCAAACTTTACTTCTTCCTTAGCTTTCTTTTGATAATTTCAAGAAGCTGATGAATCAGTAATGCTGGGTCTCAACGGAATATTAATGACACCATAGTTATTCGAGCCAATTTAGACTTCAGGAGAAGATTCTAACTCAATTAAGATCAATTAACCATGTGTTAAGCCGCAATTGTTGCCTTCAAGTAATGGTTGACCTAGTGCCGGCACTACGAAAACTAGAAACGATGTATAGTCAGCTAAGAAGTACCATTCGCAACAATAAATTGTATAATTGTTCTTTGATGTTCTGTTAACGTCGTTCGCACAAAGCCAGGTCTTCTAAAATAAACCAAGGCTCAGTCGGTTCACAGTTATAGATTACTGGATCTACTGGAGACACGGAGTCTTGACTTCTATAGTATATCAGTTTCACAGATCAATGGGTCCCTAACTCAATTAGAATGAAAACCCTGTAATCAATTATAACAAATCATTTGGTTTATACCTAGGCCGATATCAATACACAATAAGAGTTGTGATCAATGGACTTAATACGAAGGTATAGTGCTGAGAATACAAGTTTACACTAAACTTTGATTTGAAATCATGTGATAGCTAGGTATAATAACTGAGTATAGTAATAGAGGAATATTTTAGTTCATTACTTGATTCTTTTCAAGTATATGAAAAGAGTGTTTAGGATAACCGAAACCAATATATATTGGCAGCGCGTGAGAGTCAGTCTTATCTTTCTATTACAGTTCTATGTTATTAAATCATATAGTAGAAATTATCACCTGGTGAAACTGATTGTAAAGAAATTAGTAGCAAGTGATGTTGTTCTGATGGATTCATTGACTGCTGAATGGTTCGTGATTCAACAATTTTTCATGTTTCCGRCATCCAAAGCACAAGCCATCAACAAAGATCCTATGTTTGACACAATACAAATATTTTGAAAAGATTTTGTACATTTTGGGCTGAAGCTTAATGAATATTTCATTACTTGATTGAGTGAGAAAGTGTTTGTTCTAAGTAGTTTAGATAAGAGTTAATGAAGCAAGTACCGGTAGTGAATGGTATTAATGATCTTGTMTTCTCTTGTGCATTTCTGTTTGGACCAGTAGAAAAACCCTGGATTGAAGTCTTCCAAGATAGGTCGATTGTAATTACAATTTACAATATTATGGACTTTTTATTTTCGTAAGAATAGAATTGGCTAAAAGAGTTCTTAATTCCCCTAAYAAAATGTCAACCCTAAGCAGCGAAATGAAGTGCTAATTCTGAAAGATTTCAAATGACAAACACGAACTTATTTTTGTAATGTATCGGAACTTGAAAGAAAAATCGATTTCCTGAAAGGAGGTTTCTTTGTTGCTGGATGAAAATTGAACAAAAGATTTGCTGACACAAGACACATGCGTAAATCCCAAGGTCTATTTCTATTCGTCTAGTCTTAGTTCCTCCGCATGGAATCCGTACCTACAAATAGACGTAAATCAGCCAGTGTGTAAATAAACTCGGCATTTCTTCACAGAGAACAAGGGGATGACGCCTCACTTGTGTACCCACAAAGGTATACATAGTCTCGTTTTTTTCTTTATTAGCAAATTTGAAAAGCGCTGTTTAATTACTTGTGAGATCTCGCACATTATTGATAGGATTGTTGAGATTTCAAGGTATCAGCTCTGACGCATTAGTGATTTACGGCACGTCGGAACAGATTAAACCTCTCACCAATAATGCGCACTTGACCAATTGATAAAATATGACCGAGGAAGAGAGACTTTGGAGTTTTAAAAGGATATGATTAAGGCGTATTTCTTTATGGGCTTTGTCTAACACCCACCAAGACAACTTCCTTGCATTAAGGTTGCTTGACACTATTAGTTATTAGTGACAGAAATTCAAGTGTTTCTCTTTATTAACTGGCTGGTTGGCTTGGAGACCGTCCATCTTGGTTATCCTGGAATCATCGAACTTATAACACTTGGGCCTGCTTAAGTTGTTCTGAGAAACTCAGATTAACATGGCAAGTTGATTGTTGAAGTCAGTGCGCAACAACTGACGACAAGAATCGAAAAATACTGGAGTTGGTATATAAATTAGAGAATCCATTGACACGAGATGTAAATCAAAGAAAAACAAATTGGATTCGCTGTCTTATTGTCTTTGAGAGCTGATTGATATTTCTATTCTGCAGTTACAGATATACAATAGTAACTCGAACTGCGGTCGATTAAGCCCTTTCAACACATTATATCTTAATCAATGTTAATAAGGGCGTCATCAGGCTTTTTTAGCCTTTATGCTCCATTCATCTGCTTCATTAACTAAAGATTACTAACTAATTGTAGCTAAGTCCGCCAATCAACAGTCAGTATCTTAATTGAATTTGTGTAGGAAGTGCGAATAAGAAGGCAATCGACAAACGACAACTTCTAGATCGGTACTTATCTCTTACTGAGGGATCATGTCTTCCTTCAAGGTCTTTCACTAATGGATTAGTAAGGGTTAGTACACTTATATTCTCAGCTAAAGTAAACATGCATACATCTTCCTTTGATATTGAAAGTATCCTTCGCAAAGACAAGAAAAAAGAAGAAGGAAAAGATCGAAAATCAACTTTAACTTGCGAGAGTCCCGCTCTGAACATCAGTAGCAACTCCAGCAACCGAAGACCATTACTTCTCCCTCGCGCAGAACCAATCCAATGGAGTGCTTTTCTGTACAACCTGCCTTACTCAGGCTTAAGTAGTTGCAATCACTGTGGAGACGAGTCCAGTCAAATCTACCCCTCACCGTGGCTACAATATGGACATCATTTCATGCAGTCAGGTAGGTCGCAGTCAAAAGTGGCGGCAACTGACTTGTGCCCAGCGTAAAGTGAATAGCTTTTTAACCCAACCTAAGCTTTTTCTAAGCATAGTGTGCGACTCAACGAAGGTTTAACTTTAACCTTGAAGCTGCTCTTTCAATGAAACTTAGGATGAGTTGACTCAAAGATAAGTTTTCGAAAAGCGCCGAAAGTCAATGACCATGGCTTTGAATGGAGTCAGTACACCTGCCTATCGCAAGGTGATGATAAGCATGAAAAAACAAAAAAAACAAAAAAAAAACAAAAAACAAAAAACAAAAAAACAAAAAAACCCAGAGCCAATCAAAGGCCACGGTAAGGCGCCTTTAATTTGCAGTCTGCCCGAGTAAAACCGATATTTAAAACCTATCAATCTTRGTTGAGTTTTTCGAGAACGGCGAGGTTCAATAGAATATTAGTACTGGTCAGCACCCATGATAAACGAAGCAACAACAGCAGCAGCAGCAGTAGTAGAAGACGCAGCACGCGCGATAAATACATGGAGCCTAATTGTGTTATCACAGCAATGACATCCAATCTTCCCATACCAATATACCAATAATTACTGATTACAAACCAAACTAACATTRACATATTATTCGCTAATTCGACAATTACTACTAATACGATGCCAAATYGAATTTGTGTTTGGGAATGGAAGTGGAAATAATTGTATTTGTAGAAGTGATTGAACTATTCTTTGTACATGTRAATATGTGAATAATGTTAGTAATCCTCGATTATCTGGTTAGACGGGCTACACTTCATTCTTTGTTTTTAACATCCTTTTTCGCAAGTCGAAACTAACTTAAATTCCGCCCTAGTATTTAGTAATACCTTACTGATACCAAAAGTATGCCCGTATACACTAAGCAAGTAGATACCCTAAGTATTAGCATTCCTGCAAGGCATCTAAACGCTTATCAAATCAGTATTCAGCATGGCAAAACTGATGTTTTCGTCTTCTAGTGGATAACTCACTTTGACAAAGAACAACTGGAAAAAGCTTGCATTGCTGTAAAGGATAGTTGTGCTTTAGAATGATTGTAAGGAGTTTTTCAGTTTTCTGGTTTGCAACGAACGTACCGTTGAGATTCAAATATTGTTATAATATTAGTAATGGCTGATTCAAGCATAAAATGAGAGCGACTGTCTAAAGCAATCGAGTAATATGTAGTACAGCGACTTTGATTGGTCAAGTAGCATCGGTCAGTCACAGTCAAAATCCTGCTGAATTCGATATCTCAATTGGAGATTAAACAACCATATGAAGATTTTAAAATAAGTTTCTAGATAAGAAGTTTCTTTTGGTCCCTCCGATCCTCAGTCGTGTTTCTGGTTACGGATATGTTCCCCTATATCAACTCTGCCTTTACGTACGCCGGTATAGACTGATCTCTGACTATTGGTTGTGTGAATCTTTCAAACATATTACTTTTAAATGCCTGCTTACCCTACTCTTGGTGGTGAGAATGCATCTTATGATCCAGGTTCCAGTAGTCCAACATAGTCCAGTCCATTTTTCGGTTTTATTTCAACTCAGGTCATTTGTTATGGTTACCTTGAAGATTGAGGTTATTATTGACTTACAACATCAAACAAGCCATTGTTAAATTCTGACGTTCTCCGGAAGCCTAAAGATCTTAGAGCACTAATGAAGTTCAACAGCTGACAAAAAAAAACTTGCTCGCTGGGCGATGCGACGTAACTGAYTTAAGGTAGTTCCGGATACAAATATTTCATACGTCAATTTTTTTCTTCTAACTTTCCGGTAAAAAAAATCCTTGTAGACCAAGTCCAAATGTGGGGGGAAAAGGATGGGGGTCACCGACTTCGTTTACGTTCTAAAAGAGGTAGTCTTAGGAGGTTTTTGATATGATATGAATGATATGAACATCTCTTTCTCTCGACTTTTATGTAAAAATCATAAGCAACCTTTCGTAGTTATGTACACATCGAAAAACTAGATCCCGTTCCCCCCTCAAAAAACACAATTAAACCGCCACCCGGTTTAACCCGGTTAATAACTCAGTTGGTAAGAGCGTCGATCTGTTGCAATTGTGCGGGAGGTCTTGCTTCAAGCCTCGGCGTTTTATAATATATGAGGAGAAGGTGCTACCTTTGTAATTACACCTGCAAATGGTTAGACCTTCAAGTCTTCTCGGATAAGGACGTTCGCGGGGAAATCAAGCTGCAATTAGAACTTTTTTAAACTTTGCATAAACATACCCCAACATATTCAAGAAATGAAATAAAAATGGAGGTCACCGAGTCGTGTTTTTTTGTTTGTTTTTGTTTTGTTGCTAAAGGCTGTGGTATTTATCGAGAGAAAACCGCGCGCTATAGAGTAACATAAGGGTCAAAGAAACATTTCAAAAACATCAATAGAAAAGCAGAAAACAAATTCATGGCCATTAAATATGACTTTCTTTAACATTTCTGAATTAAAAGCATGTTAGTAAAAGCTATAGATAAGGATTTATGAAACCGTTCAATCCGGCGATGAAGTCAAAATGCGTACAATACTCCATTTTACAGTTCCTTTGAGTGACCACGAATAATAGTTGCAAGTCGAGGCTGCAGTTTCCACGCATAGCAAAACTACAGTTTATCATGCACGGCAATCCAGCCCTCGGCTCGGAACGGAACTGYAAAATGGAGTATTCGAATTCGTTAACAGGTCAATCATTCCCTTCCAATCAGAACTTTTTTWAATTTACTTTTTTTTGTAGATTTTGGTAGTATCTCGATCTTAAGATAAGGGGTCACCGAATTGGTTTCCGAGATATTTTGCCGTAAAGAAGTGAAATGTTTTAAAAAATATTTTGCCCGTCAAAACATTATGACGTCATCACTGAACACAATTTTCTTCGTGTACCTTACATTGTTGAATGTAGAATGATGTCTGTGCATGGAGGGCGCTGGAGTCACTTTGAGAGCGATCACATGAAGATGATCAGGCACATTCCTTACTTCTCTATAATAATTACTTTCAGGGTGTTCTCAACATTATCTTAACGCGACTGGACGCCATCGAAGACCACGAACAGCATTCTCGAGTCACCAACTGCTTGCTTTAGAAAGACAATTTCAGTTGCATAAATATTTAACACGACCTCAGAGGTACGAGTTGGCTACATCTCTGATGCTGACAGAAACTCAAGTCAAAATATGGTTCCAAAATAGAAGAATGAAATGGAAACGATTTCACAAAAGTTCAACCTTAAAGAAAGATCAAAGAACATGTCGAGAAGAGCTACTTAGTGATGAGAAAACGTCACCAAGACAATAATTAGTGGGCTACCTGTGTTGAAAGAGGGGTGAAAAAAGGGTAGTAAAGCCTAATGAATTACAAGACAATGATTAGCTGACTCACCTGAAGTACAAGACAAAACAGCAATGACATCTCAAGTATAACTGAAAGAAAAATTAAAACATTCAAAACGTATATAAGGGCTTGCTTATCAAAACTGGCATACTTTAGTTCATTCCAGTGTATAAAGTATGCACTAGCAATATAACGAGATTATAGATAAGATACCGTGACATAAATCTATCTTTGCTTTTTGACGGCTAACTTCAGACGTTGGCTTCTCTATTTGCTTGCATTCCTGCCAAGCAGTTTCATCCTAACTGCATGTATTCCGATTTAAAGAAGTCAAATAACATAAGGGTCAATATCCTTATCTGCTTTCCACTTAACCGTGTGTATGTGAATAAACTTATCATCATAAATAAAATTATCATCATCATCACCGTCATTGTTATTATAATCATTATAATCATTATTATCTATTTATTTAATTGCTCAACATTTAGAAGTCAACATTACAATGAAAACTAAGCGAAACAAAACAGCTACAAATGAACAGGAGAAAAAAGAAAATGAAAGAAAATGAAAAAAGGAAATGAATCTGCATTTCTAATAATCTTTAAATCAAATAGTTTTTAAAAGTCAGGGATAAGACCTAGTATTGGCTTGCATTTCTTATCCATAGAGCTGTCTTCATCCCCACATTTCTCCATAATAATAAACTAATTTTATATATAATGGAAAACCATTCAATGACGGTTTACTTTCATTATTCTTGCATAGCCAGATATAATATCGGGCAGCAAGAAAAATAACATTAACTTGAAGTTTACATTTTGTTTTGACTTGTATCAGGCCAAAAGCATTTTGGATTTTGATACTGTGTTCTTTGGAGGTAATGTCAAATTTGTCTAACCATGCTTTTACTGAGGTCAAACCAAAAAGAAGACGTTATTTGACATGACCAGAATAAGTGAACTAAATTTTCAGCGGGTTCTTGTTTACAAAAGCTAAATATATCACTTCCTAGAATCTTAATTCTGTTTAGAAAAGCATTTGTTGCCAGTTTTCTGCGTAAAAATTTCAACTGGAAGAAAATTTGTCCARTGCTTTTGTACTAAACCAAAACCTAGTTCATATGAATCTTTCCATCTAATAGTGTCAGAACCTACAATGTTACGATCTTTTGTCCACTAATTTTGACTCCTAGCGGGTACGGTTTTGTCCCTATCTATATACATACAATAGGCAAACTTGCTGCCTTTCTTTGACTTTAAAAACTCCCCCTTAAGGCATCTCCTTTAGGTAAATTTCCTAAAGCTTGCAAAAAAAAAAAAGAATTATTCCATAAGGGGAAGGACATTATTATAATCATTATTATTGTCATTTTTCATCATCATCGTCATCATCACCACCATCATCATATTAAATATGTTTAATAAAGTTTACTTGAGATGAAAGCTTTATCATCATCATCATCATCACCATCATCATCATTATCACCATCATCATCTGTTGGTACTACATGTCCCATACTTGATTGTTTTATTCTACTTGTACACATAGGTAAGGTAAAGACTACAAATAGATAAATAGATAAATAACTTAGTAAATATGATATAACAAATAAGAAAAATTACGCAACTTTAAACTGCAAAAACGATACGAAATAAGGGAAACAAATAACTTACATTTGTGTATGAAGGGACGAACTGCGAGCACCAACTAACTAAGTATTAGCATAGAGGGCGTATATAAAGCATACAAAAACTCCTAAGGGTCTATGTCTCTCCTGTGTAGTRTGCGAGTACTGTCGTTTGTTGGTTCTCTCCTGTGCTTCGAGGGGTTTTCTCCTAATTTTCTGGTTTTTCCTTCCTCCATAAATTCTAACAATGACGAAAATACTTAGACTGAAACGAGTGAAATAAAAGCTATGTAACACTTATATAACTACAGATCTAGGACAAGGAAAACTACACCAAAAACTCGTTATCGGCTATTCAGATCTAACATCATCTGCATCATTATYATAAGATTTATCGGGATTATTCAACAATGCCGAAAGTCATGCCTTAGGTGGAGAGAGCCACCCGCTAGGGCAAGTGCGCAAATAACCATCAGCGCGGCGAGTTTGTGCGTTATACAATCTCGTACCCAGAGCCCTTATTTCTTACTGCGCATGCTCGACGAAATAATTGGGCTCTGGAAAACTCCAATATTTCCTGTGCTGTGATTGGTTCTCGAGAACAAAGGAAGATACCGGAAGTAAAAATTACAGTACTAGGGAAAATAAACAAGATGGCGTCTCGAATTAAGTACACCAAAAAAGCCTGTAGGGCCGGATTTTTCAAAGTTTTGCCGGTTTTGTAATGGAAATTGTATTGATGTCCATCCAATAGATACTTTCAGAGTTAATTTAACTGAAAACCATCTTCAAAACCTAATTTTCCAAGCGCAAATTCACATTGCTCGTTGAACATCGTCCGCCATTTTGAATTTACCTAGTCTGTCATAATGCGCATTTGCGAGAAACCCAGAATCTGGGTCTTCCGGTTTGGAGTTTTCCAGAGCCCAATTATTTCGTCGAGCATGCGCAGTAAGAAATAAGGGCTCTGGGTACGAGATTGTGCGTTATACTGAAACAAATATACATTCTCTTTTATTCAGTCAAAGCGCGCTTTGGACTTGTTTACCGCTTAATAATTAATTATTTGTTGAAAAGCCTTAGTGAAACAAATATGTTTTAAATTCTGCAAATAACAATTTGCGCATCGCATTTAAAGTATAAGGTTTTGCATGCGCATGCTGTAAAATAAGAGGCAAAGCTGCTAGATCAATCTTTCGAAATAATGAATAGGAAAAAATACTCGTGAACAATTAAACGGATACTGCGTCGAATGATGGATGAGTTTTTTCGCAAAATAGTTATGATATTTAACCCCAAGATCTGCGTCCAATAACTGTATAATTTTGGCGATTTTTAATAGCATTATTTTGCTTTTTACTTTTTTTTTTCTTTCTTTCTTTTTTTTTTTCATGATTTCTTTTTTGATCAAAAAAAATTTTTTTTCGACTATGGTGATTCTTTTCTATACGTTTAATTACCTCTGGCTCTTAAAGACGTTCCCTGACAATATCCCGATTAGTTTCCGACTAGTWTACGACAAGACGCGTCTTGTGAAAATAGAAATATAAATTTTATAGCTCCTTCACGATGTGAAAAAAAGAATATTGTAGAACTACTAAAATGATTCAATTAGATAATAATTAGCGAGWTTTGCCGCAATTCAGGAACCTTCTYATTTTATGTCGGTGATATTTCTGATGTACCGTTGTGTGTTAAACATTTTCAAGAGTCAATTTGGCTGTTTAGTAAGGAGACCGGAAAATATCGCTAAAAATTAAATGCCATTAAGCTAAACTCATTAAAAGCAAATGTATCCTTTGAGAATTCCCGCTGGAAGGCGATTTCTGGCCACTTATAAACTGAAGGCAACACTTTACGCGTGGACTCCCTGGCGAGACAACCCATGATCTACATGGCTGTTAARAACACTAGTTTATATTTTGTTTTTTTTACATGCATTTGACTATTGACTATTGAGTATAACTGTGTTGAGCCGGTAGACCGGCACGTAAGGGGAGAAAAGCTGGTGTCATTAAAGAAAGAGGACAAGATAAATGACTATGAGAGACAATAAATAATCAGTGAAATGGCCGGCGTCATTTCTTCTCTTAAGRCCTCATTACAGACGTTTATTACACCTTTATATCATTCGGGAATAAAACAGYCCTCACTACATAAAAAAGTACAGTTGTGAAGGACTTTATTCACGACACTTTATCGTAGAACTTTGATTCTTCTTTAGCTTAATATCGAATCTGTATTAACAATTGAAAAAGAAAAAACGGTAAGTCAGTTCGTTTGTAAAAAACAATTTAAAGGGACTGAAGAGTTATCCCACACAATATAAGTCCTCAGTACGAAATATGTTTATCGATTTACGGCCGGTTCATTTCTGAATGCCTTGTCACCGGTTATAGGATCTCATTCTTTCTGAAGCGGAGCAGTTATGCATGTAGACCATGTATACTTGTCATGAGTAAGCTAAAAGACAGGATGTTTTCAATGGAAGGAAAAAGCCCCAGGGTTTATATACCTTCAATTATAAATTTGTACGTTTAAAAACAATTTTTATTTGACACCAATAAACCGGTAATTGCAAAACGATTGAGCATTTGCTACACGCATTTCTAAAAAAAGCTTTGACAACCAGCGTTGAACTAGAATTTGTTGTTCCAAATTATCCCGCGTGCAAAAGTAAAGCTCAGTATACCATTTTATCTTAAGATAACTATCTCCAGCTTTTCACAGTCCATTCTTTCTTTCGTATTAACAATATCTTGTCTTGTTGTTGGCCAATCATAATCATAATCTGCAGATGTAGTTCTGTTCATTAGCATATATATGGTTTAATTCTTCTATTATCGCCCTAATGTATTGATCAGTATACAACAAAGAACTCAACTGCACACAAACTAATTATATTTTCCTTTTAGAAACAGTTTTGAGATACATAAAGAGTGAAGTTCAAGCGATTTTCTCGTTAATGTCCCGGTATTTTTTGATACTTGCCGGCATTGAATGGATTAGTAAGCGGTAAATGTTGCGGGTGTTAAATGTAAATATACTTGAGTTGAACACACGAGGACCATTTTAAGTGAATTTGATAATTTCTTTGCCGGAATAAACTAGCTACATTAAATGAGTGAGTGTATATTGTTTTCAAGGAAGGAAATCTCTTTTTAATGGGTTTAAAAGGCAGGTGAAAGTGCTAATGAATTTCATCTCACTCAGTGTATCGTTGCTTTTGTTTTATAGGCGTGATAACGATTTAAAACGGCCTAGTTAAAAACACGTTAACTAACTTATCAAATACTAGCAGTTAAAAGGAACTCTTGGATATTTTACTCTTTGGTAAAAATCTGTAAGTAGTTTTGTTCAGATAATGTACAAACACAATGTTCAGTGATCAGGTCACAGCATTAAAGATGGGCGGCTTTTAACATGGTCTTAAAAATCATTGGGGTGCCATATCAGTAAGAAAAGAAGCGACTTTAGATCATTTTATTCTAGCCTTGCATTAGCAACTTTATTTAAACCACCCACTTTAGTTTCTCATAACACCTACTCTTTTCACAGTATGCTTTAGAAATATTTTGGTTTTATATTTGAAATCTTTTTAAATTTCTCAGTTTCACTTGAGCAATTTTTGTAAAGTACCGACCTTAAAAGTAATCACGATCTGCACTCATTCATTGATTAACAAACAGGTTAACTGAGTTATCTTGAAACATCTTCGTACGGATACCCGCTGCACATAACAGATGTAATCAAGTTACTTTTACACTCACTTTAACTGATCAATGCCGCGGTAATAGTGAAAGAAGTTCACAATTCATCGGCTCAGATGAGTCGTTTCGGTTTGTTTCCTCGTAAGCTCGCTCTCTGTCTTCTTCCGTTCCGTTCCGTTTTATCTTGACTGACAAACGGTAAAGATGGATATCATAATTCGAGGAATCCTTATCTGATTTAATGTTCCCATAAGCTAACTTCAATAATCATAATAACGATAAAATAATTTGTAAATTGCGCACGAGCCCAAAGACTGATTTGTCATGCTCTCACTATTACACAAATTACAAGGCTGAAATGACTTTGATGCTTAAATATCTATACAAATCAAAGTGCTATCTACAGTTACAACTCCGAATAGTTATTTGTTCTACTTTAAATTCAGCGAAAGTGACAGTTTCGAAATATTTCGTAGTCAGTCTAGAAGTCCTTCATAGAAAAAAATATAAAAATGTGTGCCATTTTTTAAGAGGAAAAAAGGAAAAAGAAAAGAAGAAAAGACTAAAATCATGAAATCACATGTTGCAAAGTGACAAAAATTTGGAGAATGAATCAATACTTGTCAATTGTGACATTGATATGTTAATGAATTCAGTGATTTCAAATATATTTTGATGCCAATTCACTAATTGACTTAAGAGACTTTATCTGTAGCGTGATGTATGAGCCTGCAGTAATCAAACCACTCCCAACTAATGGTTGTTTTGTATTTCAAGTATTTCACAATATATATGAGAAAAAAGTCCAAAGCAGTTAAACTGATCAATTAGCGTATCGTTGAGGATCTGATGGATGTGGATACAAGCCTGTWGGTCAGGTTTACATCAGTTAAGGTTGAAAGGTGTAAAAACAGCTGAAACATAAACTAGTAAAACATGATRAACGGGTTATTGAAAACGGGTTTCAAAAATAAATGGCACATTATACCAAATAACAAGAACCATTTCGTACTAAGCTATTCATGCTTTCATTGTGTRGTAGACAAACTATCTAGCCCTGCCACAAACAAATGGAAATGAACTGTTCGTGAAATTGATTCGGCCAAATCGACTGAAGGAAATACACAACCGGATTTTCAGATTTGTGATTAGAATTGATCAGCGGCAGTAATYAATGATTTTGAAGGAAGGCATTGCTAGAGGGCGTGAAGAAAATGCCATTATTATTGATAACATAACTGTTCAGTCTAGTGGTTAATAGATTAAGGGTGAAACAAACGGTGAAATAAAAAGCCTTCAATCCTTAGGATTCACYTGAAATCTTATTTATTTTGAATGAATTCTTAAGTTCCGGTTTAAAGCAGTTGATCGGTTCTGGATAGATTGGTGATAGATATTGCCAAATGATTAGTCTTTGTGAGCAGAAAGCACGATTGACACTCTGCTTAATTCACACGGACTTGTTCATAATTGCTTCAATGGTGATTTTCCAAAAATCAAATTACGAATATTAAAGAATAAAAATACACGAAGGATTTAGTCGCGATTGAATTGAATTGAATTGTTCATTAAACCATTGAATAACTAACTGCCTTTAATACCCCGGCCAATTTCGTATTGCTGAGCCAAGCMCTGACTATTCATTTATACTTCGACCCATAAACGATAATTGTACGAAGCAGCTTTTCAGGTGATAGCATTGTTACAAATATTAGCTATTTAAAAAATTCTAAGGACATTCAATTTACCGTGTTTTGATTCATCTACCTGGAAAGAATACGTACTTAATTTTCCATCCTGCATGGATGGGTCTTTGGGTCAGTGTGATCAATTCTATTAAACCTTCTTATCAAATTCGCATCTTGGCGACAAATTGTTTAGTTAGTGACTGTCTAGTTTAGTAAGGCTATTAAACTGCTGATTGTTAGAGATGGATTTTTAAACTTCAATGAAAGACGGTCCTGATCATGGTGCACTTAGGTGCTATGCAAAAAGAGGTTCAATAAACAAACCTGTACACGATCCTTGTCACCCTCAATCAAACCTTTATTAGTCAATCAATGATGTCGTTCAAAGTTAATACACCTTAATATGACATCAAATAACTTTAAAACGTGTTTCAAATACTCAAAAAACAAAGCAGCCTGTCTTCAACAATAATGATGTGAGTTCACTCATGTACGATTACCGCGATATTGATTCATGCCCATAAAACGTGGGCTGAAAATAATCTCCATAGATTTGCTATTTTGAAAGTATRTTTATTGAGACCAACAAAGAGAAGGACGATTATCCAAGCTTTTGCCAACAAATATCACTTTTTCGATGTTGTATCATCAATTCCTTGCCTCGAGGGGKTTTTTCTAGGTTATCGCTGTATTCTGACCCAAGTGCAATCACGGACATGATCGATTCGTGGAAAATATTGTTGCTCTACTTCATCAATTGAAGTTAATGGTTATTGGTGTTTKCTAAACGATGAATAAGTATCAAAAGCTCCGCTAAATTGCTTGGAAAGACGACATTTCCGCTAGAGTGAGTTTTGTACACAAGAACTCATTACTTGTCGATTGGTTCAAAACAATTGATATGATGTTTTAAGACGAACTCAGAATAGAAAAAAATGAAGCATACTAAAAACGGCCCAAGTGGCTCTCGACCCAATGGTAGATGCTCGGCTGTTAATAWGTACTCAAGCGGCCAGCTTCAGTTATTGTTTTTTTTTTGTGGTTGAAGGTTGAAGACGTTGAAGTAATTCTAGTGAATGGAATGGAAAAGACTAGAAGTTTAAACGGTTATGTTTAGCGATTTAATTTAATCATATATGTATATTATCATATAGATATAACGTATAAATATATAAATCTGGTTGATTCCATTTTGCTTGTTTTATTTGATTTCCCTTAAGTGCTACGTTATATTATTAGTGTAGGTTGAGTACTGTTTATTTTACCTGTAGTTGATCGCTATTACATGCGTTAAACCAAATGAGAGTTATTCGCTATCACAAATGGACCGAGATAATTGTTATAGATTCAGGGTAAATTAGGGTCATTTTCCCTCTGACGGATCCCGATGGCATTGAATGCTCTATTGATCTTAAGGACATCTGTACCATCTGGCAGAAATGCGCCAATCAATAGACGAGAGCAGCTGGGTAAATGGACCAATCACAGTCAAGGAACAAGAACGAACGAGAGCAAAACGTTAAATCAACAATATCTCTACTGTATCTGTTTTTCTTTCACGGAGCTACATCTCAAAAGAGATATCTCGGAAAACCCTGAATTAGCATCAGAAGAGTTTTGAACAATACTAACAAACCCCATGCTAGCTTGCTAGCACTATGAACCATAGTTTGAAAACCCGGCCATTTAGAACATCGATACAACAAAGGGGGTTTTAACCCAGGGGGTTTGGATGTTGGGATTTCGCATTCTAAACGAATAGGTGATAAGATTTTAATAAACTGTTGTGAGTGGTTGGTTGAGTATATGACGCTATCCATTTAGCTTATGAGAACCAGTGATCAGCCAATCGGCTGACACCGGAAAAACCTAACTAATAACACTTAGGAATGAAACGTAGCTGAAATAATAAATGACAAGTATTGTTTTTGTTTCCTACGATAATGAAGCTGCATTGATGGAATCATCACCCATAATATAAAGCACTCAGTCTGATCTCAATATAAACAGCGCATTACTGGTTTGTTTTTCAGTCAGTCCCACAAGTCGACGCCCATAACCTAAGCCTTTTCTAGTAGCTCTCCTAAGACAGATGGTAAGAATAGGTACAGCAATGCAGAGTCCCTCTTTTATGGTTGATTCATTAATCTCCAAGAAAGGCACAGAAGTTGCGCAAAATGCTGAAAAAGATGCTGAACATTCACATGGTGATCGTAAGTCCGCATTTTCCTCACAGTTACCAAAGAGAGAGTTTTCTACTACAGTTTGTAACTGTCAGCCATGTCAGCAACCTCTACCTGGTTTTACTGCCATTAGCCAGCAAGTTTCGAGCCCTCCAAGATTTATGACTCTTCAGTCTATGGCTGGTGTTAGTGTCCCTACACCAGTATATTTACCAAAAAGTAAGTCAGCTTGTCAATGTCGTTGCTTCATTCATTTCTATCTCCATAAATACTGCCGCACACGTCGTTTTCAAAGATTGTTTTGGATTTTTWAAATCTAATATGCGGTCAAAAGTCTAAGTGAGAAAAGTTCACTGCTTCACTCTTTAGATACTAATGTCTTATGATCAGTTTGCTTATTCAATTGTGCTAAGTACGTTAAGAACCATTTTTCATTAGGATCAGCACTGGYTCTCCTGATTACTAATCGAGAGATGAAATAAGAATTAAAATTTGTGATGATAGATTTGCTTGGAGTGTAGCCCGCCGGCCCTCGTATGTGTTATTCTTACTGACGGAGCAACGAGAAACGATCATTATAATGGACGACTAGTATTACAAGTGATTGGTTTAATAGCCTATTTATTAACGTATCAATTTGTAAATATTGCAAACAAAGAAATTCGAGTTCAGAGAAAACTAAACTAGGTAAATACTGATAGGATAGTGGCTCGAGCTAACTATGCATGTTGGCCAGACTTTTTGCCGTTTTATACGAAATCTGATGCAGACCTTGGTAGTTTCTAGTTATTTCGTTATGCTCGAAGGGTACCCGGCCTTCTACCTCTTTCTTGATTTTCCTGAAAAAAAGAAAAATCAAAACAAAGAACAATATTTGTTTGGTTGTTTAATCAACTGATAAGTCTGATGGAACTTGCTTCACGAATCAGTTTAGTTTTTAGTTAGTTTAGTTTCTACAACGAAATAAAAGGAGTTGGAAGTAGATTATACGAGGATTTCTTTTTTCGCGGGCTCAGTTTGACATCAACGAATTTGATTTTGCGAAACTGAAGTGATGAATATATAACCGCATCGAAGACTAACTGGTATTCATTTGTTTGCGTCCACAATCCACGGGATCATTTGTAAAAAAAGTACTGTCCCCATTTATATTTAAGATACATATCTTGGGCATTAGTTAAGTTTTGTGTCGTTTATTGTCGTAATGTTGCCTAATGAACTCTGATTTTTCGTTTCATTTGAGAACTAAAGCGGCGTTTCAAGTCGATCTTGTACAAGAAAAAAAATCGAACAGCATTTAACCAACACGACCACATCATACATGTTAACAATGKTAAACGCTAAAACTGTTTAATTCAGCTTGTTAATTTTTATGCGTTAAAATGATAACAGCCACTGGCAAATGTTAGAAACGTAAGGGAATTCAGATCAAATTCAATCATTTTTATTAACCGTGCATGGGTAGAACTAAAAAAGCAGCTATAAGCTTACGATTTATCTTTAGAGATAAGGATCGTTAGAGGGTTTTCCGCACCGGGTTTTATCTAAATCAATCTGTAACTAATGAACGAAGGACCCGTTCATTTATTATCACAGCCTGATTCACAATCGAGTYGACCACTACTCTCATATGATCGAACCTTGGTCGCGGCTGCACATGCAGTCAGCTATCAGCATATGAATATTGTTATTTACTGCTTTTGAAAGACCAAACTTTAGTTTTTTATTTCACTATATAAATTGATTATTATATGAAAGAACARCTAATTAACAAAGCGAAAGGCAAGGCAAGGGCGAGCGATTAAAAGGTGTTCACRATTTAATGTTTCTACCATGTTGATCAACAATGCTCGGCTTCCTTCGTTTTCTCACACATCCACTACCTTTTGTCATCTGAAGTTTATATATTCTTTATTGGCTAGCAATAAGCCAACTTTATTACCATTAAATGGCAAATGAATTTGGCCAAATGTATCTGGCAAAATGTATCGTAACTAATGAGACAATTGGATAGATTTCATACTGAGAACTTGGCTACGCGATTAGAAAATTAGCTATTGATCAGAAATGATACTAAAAATATATAATACTTTCCCTACACTTTTGCCGTATATTCATGTTTTTTAGATTAGGTAAAATTACGATAAAGAGATGACAAGTTTGTTTTTCTTTACGTGCCTAATAGAAGTTAAGCAGCCGAAGAAAAAACTGAAAAGCTCAGTCCGCGTGAAGATTCAAGGGAAGATGTCCTCATGTTATTTTGTTATAAGTTGGTTTCCGCCTTGAATTAATTGCAAATTGTAAAACGTCGTAAACAAGAGAGTTACATTACAATGGTTAAGAGTCGATCGGTGGTATAGAGGATATTTTCATGAGTTGGGAATTAATCCAGCAGCGGCTAATTATGTTTTAGTTTTGATTCCATTCAAAAGGATAATAAAAACACAGGCAAAATAAATCCTTCATCGCCGCCAGCAAAGACTAGTATCGTCACTGATTCTTTCAGTTCTTGTTTAATACAAGTCAAAAACCGTCGAAACCACATTAGTCCTGTACTGAGTCAGTAATATTGTCCTGTGAAGGCATATGACAGTTTTCCCAGTTATACAATTTCTTTTTTCCATCTTGTTTTCTTTCACAATGTTGCTAATTATCTTACATACAAACTAATTATAAAACTGACGCTTTTCTGTTTAAGGTCCACAAAGAAGAAAACGAAAGGAAAATAAACCTAGAAGACAAAGAACAACATTTACAAGCGAACAAACGTTAAAGCTTGAACTGGAGTTTCATCAGAACGAATACATCACTCGCTCAAGACGGTTTGAACTCGCTGCATGTCTGAGCCTCACCGAAACACAAGTGAAAATATGGTTCCAGAATCGAAGAGCAAAAGACAAACGTCTGGAGAAAGCACAAATGGAACAGCAAGTTAGATTAGCAAACTACACTAACACCATGACATACCCAGCATCATACTTGAACTACTACTCGCCTCATTATTTCAAAAATGCCCCAACTATTCATTCTCCTTCCGTCAGTATAAGCCAGAGGATATCTTAGGATTATACCTCGAACAGAGAATTGACTATCTAGTTTTTGTACATTGTATTTGGTTTTCTCTAGATTTGGGAACATGATAGATTTGTTAAGTGGTAGATGTGCTGGCCTAAAACTGCCATCACTTCTGTCAGTTTACAAACATCTGAATCCTAATTGATAGTAATGTTTGGGTTAGTTAACTGCTACATTTGACACGCCATTTTGTCTTCGCTATATCCTCCCGCGTACGTCAGTCAGTCTGATGAAAGAAGGCAAGGCAGGCGGATAAGTTTAAGCCATCGATGAGAACCTTCACCCGCTGTTGTAAAATATTTCTACTGAAAAATATTGTAAATAGCTCATAATTATTCGTTGTAGTACATACATTACATCGTCTTGTACTAGCTCGCACTTAGGCGTTTGAACACTATGATTAATAACAATAAACAAACATGAATGGTTTTGTAAAACAACATGATTGCCTGACATAATAAAGAAATTGTTAATCGTCAATGCAATAATGCTGTCGACGTTTCGACTGCTCATGCGCACTGCGCGCTAGACAATTTGACGAAGTGGTAGTCAGTGGTAGGATGGAATGTTGATCATTTTAATGGTTGACCTGGGTACGACAGAGTACGACTCAACCTCATTCAKCCTAGTCGATAATACTTTTCTCCAACAAGGAAATATTTAACTAATATGATACTGTGTTAGTGAAGGCATTTCTTGATTCTCTTTGCGGCCAGGCGGGAAATAAACTGACTGATTTAATGATTAACTTCTTTCCATCACTATTCTCTACTTTCACATCACCATAATGCCTTGCGTCTTTGGGGGTAACCAATCGAAAAATTGTGCCAAATTGAAAAGTTTCTTAATTGAATTTATACTATACCYGCTTTTATCTGTACAATACTGATTATCAGTTTATTCCAAGTTATTTTTGCGTGTACAGATCATCAAGAGTTTTGGTCTTACAGAAAATGTATTGACTTACGAAAAAATGTTTAAAATTTACCTTAGTTAAATGTCTTCAAGCTTCTATCTTTTTCTGTTTTTTACTTCTTCATTTTATCTTTGGATACCAAACAAGGTATTTTCAACATTGTCTGATCAGCCTTCAGCAAAATAAGTGGGTTTTTACCCTCTGGTTACCCCCCAAAGACGHAAAGTATTATGGGGATGTGAAAGTAGAGAATTAGACCTTTTGTTAGGTTAATCACCTTTAATATTTCTAAAAGCAGTAMTAATAATACGATGAAACGAGAAGCAGGATCGTAAAATTATGATGTTTGGGATGGTACTGGGTTTGTGGCACATGATACAGTTATTCCATCAGTTATCTGAGACGTACCCCCTCCACGACTATGATACTGAGCGCCTTAGTTATGTTGACAGTAATACCCTGCGATAATGGTATTAGTGTTATCATGGTGATAGCTGCCATAGGTGCTACCAAGGTAACAACACTAACTTGCTCTATTGTTGTAAACACGACTTCAGAGGTTTTAATACATCATGCGTGATGTTTGTGTATATAAACTGAGAACCAATAAAACTAACTACAGTATTGTATTTAGTCTAAAACCCGAATTATATTTATGAAAATAATTCAATGAATATGGACAAAGTTGATCGAAACATCTGCTTAAGGAAAACAAGAGAATTTTCAGTAAGCCTCAGGCCTTTTTYATTGAGTACGTACGGTAATAAGGAAAAGAAGTATTTTGTCATTAACAAAATGGTATCTTTAACGTCTATCTTCATTAACCACGGGGTGTCACGATTTTCCTCATCACCGCACTGCGATTGTGCATTTTCTATCTATCTGTTCTTGTCTTCCTATTCGGTTCACTGACAAAGAGTCGTTCTGCTTGTCATCTTGTTCCTTTTCATATTTTCTACTCCCGCGACGCTTGTTTTTWGGATCGATCAGTCACTAATATGAATCATTTGATACTGTATTTTATTTCAGTTTATTTATGAGCTGTAATATCGTAATTAGCTAACACACAAAAGAAACCACACGAGCTTGACCCTTAGAAAAGACGCGTCATAATCCCCTCATAAACCTTCAAAATATCTTTCAAGTTTTATCGATACCTTGAAACAACCTCGAACTAACTAACGAATCGAACGCCACCTGTTGATTCCCACACAAGGAACCTGTTTGGGCTGCCTGTGGCAACGCGAGCCTTTTTACTATAAAGTTATGGGTTGCCTGTTTATGAAAATAACCTTATATTTACATTCAGAAGACCTGCTGTCGAAGGCTTGCCGTCGATCGGTTGTCTTAAAAAATACATTTTACTGTATCAAAAATATCAACAATTCCATCTTAGCATTTAAAATGGCTTCCTCAAATGAAAGCTTGATATTGATTGCAGTTGATGGCAGCGAACACAGTTCTCGTTCATTTGATTGTAAGTAGATTCAACTATAAACATATAAGAGGCGACAGTGTCGATGTTTGTTTAATAGGAAAAAGCCTTAAATTTGTTTCATAAAAACATTTACGATGATAAACAATAACAGTTATATCTACGGACATAATTATACCAGCCTTTTAGGTAATCATAACCCTTTTTTAATCGTATTTTTTTGCTACCTTTGCAACAGCCCACCTTTCCTACCTTTAATATAATATGATAATGAAATAAAATTATATATAGAGGATATTACATAGGCGCGCGGAGATACGAAATTTATCTTCGAGTGTTGAAAAGATCTCTCACAAGTGAGCGCAGCGAACGAGTGAGAGATTTTCAACACGAGAAGATAAATTTCGTATCTCCAAGCGCCCATGTAATATTCTGTTTATTATATAATTATCAATGGAGTATGTTTTGGCTTTTTCAGGCAATTATTTCCGTGTATTTTTGAATAGTCATCGCAATGGTGTTATYTTCACACGTGAAAATAACATGTTATTTTCACGTGTGAAGATATCAATTTTTCGAAATAGAGAAAAATAGATATTTCATTGGTAATTATATAATAAATTTATCATGAATTGCAATAAAATACTGTGCCAGTTTTCTACGCAAATTGCTAAAGAAGCAAGCATTTAAAAAWAATAAGACTGAATTCCAACCATTGTTTTTTCAATACTGTGAAGTTTTTCTTGGTCATGAATATTTCATAGGCTTTGCATTTTAATTGTTACTGTAATGAGAACATTTGTGCTTTTCTTTATCGACATATGGTATTTATTTACCAAATACATACCTGGTTTTCTTGAAGGGTATTTAAAGAACATGCACCAGGAAGGCACCACTGTTGGRCTACTACACGTGCATGACATGTCCAACGTTATTGTCAAGATACCATGTGAGTATTAATGCCAACTGCCATGCAGTCTGTTTACTGAGAGATTACATATATAGACACAATATTTCATACTAGCATTATTCCTTCTTACAAATTAATCTGGATGTAAACAAAATATCATGTTTTCTTTTAATTTTCAGTGGGATCAGATCTCCCCACAGATGCTATAGAAAAAATTATCCAAAACAGTTGGGAAAAAGTTGATAATCTTATTGACAAGTATAAGAAAAAATGTGAGGAATTCAAGGTGTGTATTACAAATATCCTCATTTGATTGCATAATAGACCCTATGCTAAGGGTTGGGGCCCTTTTTGCATTATGCTAAGGGTGGGGCCCTAATGTACATAATGCTAAGGGTGGGGCACTAATGTGCATTATGCTAAGGGTGGGGCCCTAATGTGCATTATGCTAAGGGTGGG